TATATATATATATATATATATATATATATATATATATATATATATATATATATATATATATATATATATATATATATATATATATATATATATATATATGTCGCAGCGGTGTGCGAAGTGCCGGAACTCTGGCGAGTAGTCGTAAGCCACTACGACGGTATTTGATTTTGATATAAATACCCCAAAATCAAATACCGTCGTAGTGGCTTACGACTACTCGCCAGAATTCTGGCATTTCGCACACCGCTGCGACTTCTTATATATATATATACAGGGGCGGATCCAGCATTTTTTGGTGTTTGAGATAGCTAACTTCCAGACATGGAGTGAACTCCAAACATTTATATGTTTATACTTATATCAAATAAGGATGGTTTGCAAAAAATTGCGATGATTGGAGTCTGGGAACAAAAAAACCCCAAAATTTGAGACGTACCTGCCCCAAACGTGAGAGCAACAAGTTGATGAAATATTTTTTGTACTATTCTCAACAAGACTTATATTTATCCATAACTTTTAAATTTTATTGTAAAATATTTCAGCATTCAAAAATTATGACCATGTAAAGTTTAAATCCCCCTCAATTTGCGGGGGTTACAATTTTTATATGGTCATAATTTTTTAATGCTAAAATATTTTACAATGGAATTTAAAATTTATTGATAAATATAAGTCTTGTTGAGAATAGTACAAAAAATATTTTATCAACTTGTTGCTCTCACGTTTGGGGCAGGTACGTCTCAAATTTCGGGGTTTTTTTGTTCCCAGGCTCCAATCATCGCAATTTTTTGCAAACCATCCATATTTGACATAAGTATAAACATATAAATGTTTGGAGTTAGCTGTTTGTCTGGAAGTTAGCTATCTCAAACACCAAAAAATGCTGGATCCACCCCTGATATATATATATATATTATATATATATATATATATATATATATATATATATATATATATATATATATATATATATATATATATATATATATATATATAATTTTTTGTAAAATATTTTTACTAAAAAAAGTGCAATTACTTGCATAAAGTAATTTGACCTGACCACGCTTATAATACTTTGTTTGTACAACTCGACCACGGGTGTTTGCATGTTTGACAACTTTAAAACAATTAAAATAACTATTACGTAAAATTTTTCTAAAATAAGTTTAAAAAGGGTTTTTAATGGTAAAGATTTTTGTTTTAAATTTATAAAAACCATATGACAAAAAGTTGAATAAATACTAAAATATAAATTTAATTCATTAATATTCAATCGTTATGTTTTAATATAAACTAACAAAGATCAGACCCGTAAAAGTACGGGTCTTTGTAAGTCTTTTCCAAACGAACTTTTTTATACTTTTTCCTTAAGGCGAGTTTCCAATTATCCGTTTTTTTCATGGGAACGGGAAAGGGACGGGGAAAAAAATCACGTGGGCATGCGTAGTATAATTTTTAATATGTCTAAAGGAAAACCCCGTTTAACAATGTCACACCTCTGTGCGTCAGAAACATTATCTAGTCACTCAGAAGGATCATCACTGAGAAAAATAGGCGGAATTGTTATGCTATTTGATGTAGACTAGCATATCAACCTATCTGACTCTACTCTAGTATTCAAATAGTGACAATCAGAATTATTTGTAGTTTCTATTGGTACCGAAACACTTCCAGGCTAAGCTGCTGGTTTCAAAAAATGTGATAGTTTGGGGTACTTTGTGATTTCCTCCATGGCTGCAGTTTTTTCTCTTCTTTTAGTTGCACCACTTTTTACTTTTTTCATACCAATAATTATATCGTGAAAAACTAACGAAAGATAATTATAAATTTTTGCAAACCTTCTTTCATTGTTTTTTATGATATAAAAAAAAATAACAACGCATAATACTAATAAAAAAGTTTAAGAATATATTAACTATACTAGGTAAACACAAAATTTAAAAAATGCGTTTACTAATATTCACTTTTTGTATGTTAGTTGGAAAAGTATAAAGCTGCAATTCCAATTATCATACCACACACCTTCATTAAACATTAACCTTATGTTGTCATTTTTAATAATCATCCATCAAATATTTATTTTCATTATTGAATCATCAAATGTATAATTTTCTTTCTTTTCGTGAGTAAATATTTACTTTTTGATAACTATTTTTGCACTGAGATAACTTTCTTATTTGTATTTAAAATTAAAGTGAACTATTTAACAAAAGCTCTACAACTATGTAGTAACAAATTTTGTGACAAGTAGATGAATAATTACTGATGAACAAGAAGGAAATATAAGGAGATGCATGAAACCGTAATAATACGGCATGGGCATTTGGGAACCACTTTTATTTTGCGTGATATTACGGCATGGACATAAAGCAATCACTTCAAGTTTGCATTATATTATGGTCGCAGTGGTATCGAGTTAAACTTTTTTTTTTTTGCATGAAAAATATTATTGCTTTTATTACGCTTGCATAATTTAGGTAATATCGTGATTAAAAGGCCAAGTTTTTGATTAATAGTTACAGTAAAAATAAATATTTCAATATTTTTATTATAAAAAATACAAAAACAAAAATTTTAACTTTTGATAAGGGCCCCTGAAAATGCTGCCCCCCCCCATTTGGGGGTGTGGGGGAGCCTAGCCACGGCTCTGTATATATATATATATATATATATATATATATATATATATATATATATATATATATATATATATATATATATATATATATATATATATATATATATATATATATATATATATATATATATATATATATATATATATATATATATATATATATATATATATATATATATATATATATATATATTTATATATATATATATATATATATTAATTTAGTAAAAACATATCTAATTTTTAGTGCTTTTCAACAGCATGTTTTACCATCAGTAGGTTCATCAGGTAGCGATATATATATATATATTTATATATATATATATATATATATATATATATATATATATATATATATATATATATATATATATATATATATATATATATATATATATATATATATATATATATATATATATATATATATATATATATATATATATATATGTCTGTCTACCAGATGCTTATTAGGTAACAATGAACTTGTCATATCGATTTTTGAAATCATTAACGATTCTTGAATCAATAACTTGCTTACAAGGCCGGCGCGAAGGGAACGTGTAGGGGGGTGTAACACCCCCCTCCCCTCATCAATGATTTTTAGTCGGCAAATTTGACCTCTAGTTGGCAAATTTGACCCTTTTCGACTAGTTAGTCGGCAAATATCGACCTTTTCGATATAGGGTAGTTGGTAGTTTAAACAGTTAGTCGGCAAATGTCGTCTTGCAGTCGGCAAATTTTCGAAAACAAGGACTTTTTTTTTTTTTTTTTAGTCGGCAATACTGATAATGGCACCCCCCACGTGACACCTACTCGCGCCGGCCATGCTTGCTTAGGTAACTTGTTCAATAAGAGTACAATTCTGTTTGTAAAGAAATTAAATCTTGCTTGGTTCTTGTGAATTGTAAAGACAGTCCTAATTTAGAGCCTCTAACATTACTTTCAGTTCCTTGTGTTTATAGAGAAAGGGGTAAAGTATTGATGTGAAAATACAGAAATAAATCCACTGTTTTAAAATACAAAAACAAATCCACTCTTTCACTTCTTTGTTCTAGATTTTGTAGATTGAGATAAGTTTGACGGACTTAGTAAAATAAATTTCTTATTGTGACACAAGTTTAGTTGCTCTTTTTTTAGCGGCTTCTAAAAACTTTATGTCTTTTTAGTATTCCTAATGAAGTTGAACAAAGGTAGTAAACAATCTAACAAATATAGTTCTTGTCCAAAAGTTGAACGCTTGCTTAAACATGGCTAGAACTATATATGCTTTATTTATTGGATTTCTGATATGATAAGTCTTTTTTAATTTATTGTTAAAAGTTACACCAAAGTTTTGTTCAGTTATTGTTGTTTCATAGTTAAAAAAAATTCAATGTCGGCTTTCTTATTTTCTTTTCATTTCAAGGTAGCAATATCTGTTTGGAAAGATTTGATATATATATCATAGTGAAAACTCTGGTTCTTCTAACATTTTGAAAAAACAAAAGGATGCAGTTGGTCGTCTCTAAGCGGTTTCGATTTGTCTAAACTGAACAGTATATTGGCTATTTCAGTTTTACTAAATAGAGTTTTACTGTCAATATAAGATATAATTAGAGTTTTGGGTTAAAACTCTGGCATTAATGTTCCATTATGGGTCTGAGTAAAGGTTTTATGAAACTGTTGGTTTAAACAATAAGTCATATTTTTTATTATTTGCTGTCAGCATCAAGTACTGCACTGATGTAAGTTTAACTTTTTTGTTTGTTTGTTGAATTAAGAGTATAAAACTTAAGGAATTTCTTTTGCACGCATGGAAATACGTGCAATATCTTAATATTGTAAAACTGCCTTATTTACTAATTCATTAACTAATTTGCACATTTATTTTAGTTTATTGAATTCAGTTCAATCATCTTTTTGAAAAGGCATAATTTATCTTGAAACTTTTTTGCTATTTTTATTTATCTATATGGGTACTGATTTGGATAAGTTGAGGTTGAAGAGAGATTTCATGGTATATATATATATATATATATATATATATATATATATATATATATATATATATATATATATATATATATATATATATATATATACATATATATATATATATATATATATATATATATATATATATATATATATATATATATATATATATATATATATATATATATATATATATGTATGTATATATATTATATATATATATATATATATATATATATATATATATATATATATATATATATATATATATATATATATATATATATATATATAAGAATAAGTTATTAAGATGAATTATGGTTCCCCTCTCCCTGAGACGTAAATTTTTATTCCTCCTATTAAATAGTCTTTATATTTATTTCAGATTCATCACATCTGTCAGGTTAACGTAACTGGACCTCTCCGTTGGTCAGTTTTTGCGATCATTGTGTTGCAAAAGTTATTATAAAAATATTCTTGATAGCTGGTAAGCCTCAACTTTTTTCAATGTACACCACAATGACAAAGTTTGTTCTTTATTATATACTTTTGCTCATAGTCTTTGTTTGATCTCATCGTTGTATATTCTTTTAGTTTTGTGTTATTTTATGAGACCATATATATAAGAGAAGCATACTAACGCGAAAAATTAATACTTAAAAATACCACCCGACATACAAATAATTTACTCAAGAAGACAGGCGGTTAACTAGGGTCCAAAGAAAGATTTTCTAAATATGTTTATATATGTTTTGCTTGCCTTGGTTCATATTTGTTCCATGATATTTGATTTAGTTTAAAAAGCGCCTACTTTATCCGCGATTTTATGTTTTTGCACTAAGCAAAAACGTAGCATTTACAGTTTTGGTCTTATGATTACTTGCATATTACCAGATAATATACGCTTCCAATTGTAGATGTTCTTTAGAGAGTAACCAAGATAATGCTAAACTAAAAAGCCACCCAATAAAAACACTCAACGGTAATACTCAAAACCCATACTATAGGCGAGGGCAAATGAATTTGAGAAAAACAATCCCATAGTTCGAGTCAAGACAAAAAGCTTCATATGTACCTCCCGTGGGCAAGGCGTATAAACTGGACAAGATTAAAACCATCTATAAAAAATATTTAAAATCAAAAATGATAACTTTAATATTATTTGGTAAAATAAAATAATTTAAAAATTTCTAAAAAATTTCTTTAAGCGCAGTTTCAGACAGAATTAGCAAAAAAAATTAACATGCGCATCTTTTCCGTATATAGATCTTAAAAGAGTATCTTATATAAGTGGATCTTATGAGATTTATAAAATAGTTTGTTTTTCTCATAAACAGGGAGACTCTATTCCACATTAACTTTGTCTATATTTCTCCTGATATTTTTTTAGTGAACAATGATTATGAGCAAAAATGAAAGTTTACATACGCATCTTTTCCTTATACTTAGAGCTTATTACCACGTATATTTTTTTGAAATGAAAAATTCTGAATATACTACTAAAAAAATTTTAAAAGAAAGTTGTCTCTTTACGGTGTTAGATGCCTAGATTTACCTAATTAAATATGTTAGGTACTATTTTCATAGTTATCTTAGTTCCTTCATTTAGTATTTGGTTTTGAATGTTTAGCGGAGGCGTTGTAAAATAGTTAAGAAACTTTAAATTACTTTATTATCCTAAAATAAGTAATTTTAACTTTTATTATTTTTTAAAATAATTAAGTTGATAAAAATGATTTATTTTATTATATAAAATCAAAATTTTAAGTCACGTTCTTAATGAAAACATTTTATTTAAACCTCGTTACTTTGTTCAAAAAAAGTTTAGAAGCCGAGTGGCAAGCTTGTTTTTTTTATTTTTTAAAACGCAAAACAAAACAAATTATAGCTCTCTTTTAAAAGTGTTTTATTCTGTATTTTAAATTAAATCAATGAAAAATTTAAAAAAAGATAAAAAAGTATTCCAATGATAGGACTCTAACTCCGATATTCACCTCCATATGTCGCACAGTGACCCAGATTAAGTTAGAAGCGGCAAAAATGACCTAACTATTAACAACATGTTTATTAAGCTTACACTATGCATCAAAATAGGGGTTTTTGGGGTCAAGGAATTTAAATTAGTAACTTAAAATTATTCTTACATGCACTTATTACCCGTATAACGCACATGTACGCGTCAAAACGCGCGTTAGAGGACTTTGTATTTGTAAATAACATTTTTTGTAGCTTTATTATTATACCATTATTTTATTATTACGTGCACGAGTCTTAAACGCACGCGTATAACACTCGTGCACGCGTTTAACGCGCGCAAATTTACTAAACGCGCGTAGACGCGTATCAAAGCGCGTTATGAGTCTTTAACGCAATCTATAATACAAAAATAAACAAGTCAGAATATTAAAATTTTTTTACAATTTAAATTACTTATAAGTTCACTACTTCTGGAGGCAAAGTTCTGCCTTGACAACTCCTGTGTTTTACAAATGAAATGCTTGAGATTTTTGGATCCGATATAATCAAAAGGTAGTGCATCTGATTTTTCATTGTGTTAATTCTTGATACTTTTGTTGTAAGATGCAACCTTACATTTCGGATTTGCTTGTTTAGACTTTCCTGAGCTTCCTCAGAGTATTAGGCAATAGGCAAATCAAATTGCTTTGAAATGGAGCAATCATGTATCAGAACTTTGTGAACACTGGGTGGCATTATATACCAACCATATTTATTAACTATAATTTTAGCTGTATCAGTACAATAAACTTCAAATTGATTACTATCAATATGGTACCCAGAATATTATTCATCTCTTTGGGCTTACAACCACACGCATTACAACACTGATTTGATTTAGTGTCAGTCAATGAATTTATTATTTTTCCATCAAACATGGTCATATCAATTTTAAAAGTAACCTTAATAGTTATTGCTGTACCAGCAATATTCAAATCTGTTGAGAAGGGTTTTAACTGATTCATTTGAGTTTGAACATTTTCTTCTTTTTTGTACAACTCTGATGTCTCTGTTTTATATTGCAGGTGAAGAGGTCTACAAAAATGGCAGCTAGAACTTTTAGAATTTTTCCAAAAGCCAATGTTTTCAACTTTAAACAGAAGAGGTACAATTGCTGAGCTAAACAGGCTATCTTCTTGCTTTGATTCTTCAGTAAAATTAAGGTGATCAAATTTTTGTTTGTAAATACTTTGACTTGAAGCTCCATCAATCCCAATTTTTACATAAAAAATTCCATTTATCTCAACTTTACAATTTTTCTTCAAATCAATCATATCTATAATTTTAGTAACTGTATGATTTAGCATATTTTGTAATGAGCAATTTGCTGACATTTCAGTAAACTGAATATCTTCTGGATAACATTTCAGCTTTTCTTCCCCAAGCTTATAAAGATTAGGATATATTTTTACATTGTGAGAATTTCTCAACATTTGGTAATTGTAAATCACTTAAGTCAGTTTGGTAATTGGTAATTGTAAATCACTTAAGTCAGTTTGGTAATTGGTAATTGTAAATCACTTAAGTCAGTTTGCGTTTTCAGAGCAAGAGCCTCCTCTAGTTTCATAGTTGTTTGAGTCAAGGAATCAATACTTCTTCTCATCTGAGCTACATCAACACATTTAAAAGTTCTTTTCAAAATATAAGATGAATCGTTTTTATCTGCTGCTTTAGCACGCTTTGATGCAGCAAGAGATAGACCCAGCAAACATGTCAGCGTTGAATCAACGTTGAAAACCGGTCGCAAAAGGTGTTGCGGAAACGTTGACAAAGTAACCGATTTTGCAAAGATATGTCACGTTGTTAAAGAGACGTTGATTAAATGTTGTAGCGTAACGTTGAAAAAATGTTACTAAAAGACGTTACAAAAATATCTCAACTAAACGTTGAAAAAGCGTTACTTAAAAAGCGTTGCATAGGCGCCGCAACTTAACGTTAAAAAAACGTTACTTAAAATGCGTTACTTTAACGTTGTTAAAGCAGTCGATTTTGCAAGGATTTGTAACGTTGGTAGTAAAACGTCGATTTAACGTGACTCAAAGACGTCGAGTAAAGGTTGAAATATAACGTTAAATCAACGCTCAAATGCGCTGGAGAAAATATCTCAAAATATTATTAAACGTGATTAAACTTGGTTATAATGTATATTGAATTTGCAAATAAAACAAAATTTACAATTTATAGATAAAAATGTAAACATCTTTTTTAAGATTAATGTGTGTGAGTGGATGTGTGTGGATCGATAAGCCAGGATATCATTGAGATACAGAATCTAAATCAAAAAAAAAACTTGTATCGTTATCAATCTGAAAGCAAATGTTTAAAAAATGTTATTGAATTAGTATGATTATTATTAAATTTAAAAAGTAAATATATATATATATATATATATATATATATATATATATATATATATATACATATATATATATATATATATATATATATATATATATATATATATATATATATATATATATATATATATATATATATATATATATATATATATATATGATAGTCGTAATAGCATAAAATAAGTAATTGTTTTTAAAAATAACACGACGTTTTTTATTCTTGAAATGTTTTGTAGTAAACAACTGGGGTTGATATTTGACTGGGGTCGGAGCCGGGTTTGATAAAATATAGCCGGGGAAAGGGCCGGGTTTGAGACCAGGCTGCATAAACGTTTATACATCCTAAAGTATATTTTTTAAATGTAAATTCATGCTATATTTTGTATATATATGCATATATGAACATCATTGTGATCAACATGATCATCATAATCATCATAACCATCATCATCATCATCATCATCATCATCATCATCATCACCATCATCATCATCATAATCATCATTATCATCAACAGCATAAAAGTGGAAAACTTGACAATGATAATAAAAACTATGTTGATGTTGTTGATCGTCATCATGATAATCATCATCATCTTTATTATGGCACTATGTAAGGCACACTCTTCAAATTTTCTTACTTCTACCACAACCATTTTATACTGAAGCTGCTACCACTCTACATGTTAATACCTGAATTACTTTAATTTTTTCTTAAAAAAAAGGTTGTTTGATACAACGTTTTTTCTAATCTGTCTAAGATTATGCCTACTTTTTATATCTTGTTAGAGTCACACCACACATCCATCTGATCATTTTCTCTTTTGGCAAATACTACACTATATAAATACTAAAGTTTATACAACAATGAAAGGATATTGTATGCCAGCATACAATATCCTTTCATTGTTGTATAAACTATATTTTTATTCATTGTTGTATATATATATATATATATATATATATATATATATATATATATATATATATATATATATATATATATATATATA